TTTAAGCATTTTCCTTTCTGAGGGAGAATCTTTCTCTGTTCGCACGTTTCTCGCAGTTCTCGTTCAATGTTGTCCGTATTTCATCTTTCCACTTTGACTTTGCTTATGTTGTTACAATTTGGGAACTATCAAAAAAACATGATCAAATATGATCCCGATTTTCAACAGGTAGGAGCTTCGTAAATGTTACATTGGAATTATTACTGATGTCGGATTTATATTTATATGTAACAACACATCGTTCCCTTTCTTCTACACACCTAGAAAAACACTAAATCATCATTTTATGATAGTTAAACTCCTACAGTGCATGGGATGCAAGGTCTCTCCTTTGAGCTGGGCTGAACAAGGGAATCGGTTGGTTGCTATTAATGCATCCTCAGGAATGTATACGGATTCATGAAGTGTGCAGGCACTCGGGATGGAAGAGATATTCCAGTTCGACGATTGATGGCTCAGAAAAAGTTTAAGACTGACAGATCCTGATTCATTACCTCGCCATATGCACAATCCAAATGTTACCTGAGACATCGTTAGTTTCTAAATAAAGCTGCTGGAGTCCTTCGACTCTGAATCTTCTTTATGAATATGACCACTGCAAGGCCTCTTATCTATCGACAAGAATTCTTCATTTAATACACGTTTGTGCTTTCGCTTCTGACAAAAATTTTCCCAAGGTCCTATAACAACGTATAAAACGATTTCTATGCGCCATTGAAGAGCAATGAACGTGGTCACAAATAACTAGAAATTTAGTGATACTTGAATCGAATATCTGTCAATTAGTCAGTTTCGACTGTCGCTTATTCTTCCTTGATGGGGAAGTAACTCCAGACAGTGTCCCGATCCTGTGCTAGGGTTTCAGCTTCGATAGGAGAAAGCCTGAGTCTGGAGCGGACTCCGTCGAGGTACTTGCCAGAGGTCATTTTTGCCTTAGCAGAGGGCTTCGAGCGTTTAACTAAAAACCGGCAAATTTCGATTTCCATTCTGGAGGCGCTCGCGAAACGTGTTCAACGTGGGTAAGCAGTAGTTTGAATTGGCGTCAAACAAATTTTCCATATTTGCTTCACGCTTAGGAACCATGGCCATGAATAAATAAATAACTATGTAAAGCTATTAGAAACGCTTGTGCATTAGAAGCCTGAGGAATATCATTAACAAGATTATGATAGCCCTTGAGTTTTCAGACGCCATGTCATAAGCCCCTCAGTTTTCGAGGCGATGTACTTGGTCCGTACTCTACTCAGTGGTTATGTCCTGCTTTCACGTACTGCCGGCTTTCAAAGGCCACCGAACCGGAACCAGCTTCATGATCTTCCTAAGGATCTTAAAGACAGGGGGTTGTGCAACACTGCCGTATAGCCTGTACATTACAATAGTCCCTTTGGCAAGAAAATACTCAATCAAAACGACACGAAGGTAGCAGTACATTTGACGTCATTACAATTTGTTCCCAAACATTTATCTATGCAATAGTGGCAGGTACAAAGTGTTATTTTCTAAAACAAATCAGGGTCATTAACGGTAACGCTGTTGGATCAGCAGGCGTTCCACACATACGTGATGGCACAGTGCCTAAGTCGACTTCGAACTTGCTGTTTCGATTTTCTTGCATTTTTTTAAATAGAAACCTTCAACTTCGTTTAAAATCTCTTGTCTGGCCCTGATCACTGTCCCCCTTTGCTGTGTCTGCCTTGAGACACAAAATGTGTCGTTTCCTGGCCGTCAGTTTTTGGCTTAATTTCTTTACGCTTCGACTGTTCGCAATAGTTTCCTTCAAAAATCTGAGTTTGATTACTCAGACGTCTTCTTTTATCCGTTCCTTCAAGAGCTTGCCAAATTCCACATATTCTTCGATTTCTGAGTCCTCAGAAATGTTGCTGTCCTCAGTTCTCTCCGCGTATTTCATAATTTTTTAGTTGACCTTCGTAATCCTTGTTCCGGGAATATATTCCGCCGTTTCTGTAGCCATCTGTTTGACTTCCTGATAAATTACATTGCAGTTCACTGCCTCGCTTGTTCCTTGTTCTTGCATGCCGCGAAGGACATCCAATCGGTTACTCAATTTGAGTTCGGACGGCGGGATGTTTTTCCTCTAGTGTTTCCATCTGGAGTGTCTAACGCTTTATCCTAATCAATTTCCCTCTTTCTAAAGTTGAATCCAAGCCAGTTTGCGTCTGACAGGCAGGTGGTCCGCATCCTCTCCTCCGCTGTCTCCCTCTCTTTCCCTCAATGACTGCCTCGATGTCCTGCACTGTAATCTTCATTTCCTGAAGTATGAAACCGATTTCATTTGGGGTTCACGACGTTTAGGCTATTCCGTATTCATCTTATGCTGGCATTTTTTTAATGAAAAAGATGCTCATAATGAATAACTTGTCATTTCTACAAACTCTACCAGTCCATCACTTTTACATCCGTTTCATCGTCATAATACCGATCCACGAACATCTGCTACCATGGCGTTTATGTAGCGAAGGATAAACTTCTAGTGGTTCTTTCTATGCCCAATTTTCAATCGTTTCATTAGGATGACTTCATGGTGCTTGAATCTCGCAAGTGGATCACACAGAGTTAGTATCTGTCTGATGCATACTTTCAGAACAAGTCTTACACACCTCTGTGAGGTGCTTTCCCCTGGTACGAAATTTGTCTTCAATCTTCTGCGGATAATGAACTCCATTCCTCAATGTACGATCCTCTGTAGAACAGAAAGCGTTCACTTTTAAGCTCTATCAACCCCTTCTCCTTTTTTCTGACATCGCTGAGTCCTACGGTATTCCATTTGATTTTCATGGATTCTTCTTCCAGCTCTTGAAGCCTAGCTTTATCCACAGGTGACCTGCGGTTGTACGTTGCCAGCGTTAGTAAGCTAGAAAGTCATAGCAGCTTCGATCAGCCATCCGGAGAGCTTAGCTTAGCGCCCTCCTCCTCCATACCTAATTAGCTGCAGCCTTCAATGGTGACAATCCAGTCTTCGGGGAAAGTAAGCAGCGGGTTTAGTTGTGGCTTTGTCTCAAGGGATCTGACCATAAGTCAGCACGTCGGCCAGGAGTGCTAGAGAATGTTGATTCTTCCACTTGGCCAGGTATATTTCTCAACATTTCACAGCATGGTTGAGTCTAAACGCTAAGCTGTGCATTGTTTTGGGTATCCGCTGTAACACACCCGATACATTTAGGTAAAGGAAGAAGAACTTCAGAGG